CCCCAAAACCCCAAAACCCCAAAACCCCAAAACCCCTCATATGTTTAAAAATTGAAATTACTAAATATCTAATTATTATACAATGAACATAAATTGGACAAGAACCTGAGAAGACCTACTAAGTCCAGAAAAAGGTGATGCTCTGGATCTTCTCCAGCTTGAACAATCATGCCATGACCAAAAGACAGTAGAAGATGAGAAGAGTGATTCAGGTCATGATAAGTTCTCCTACTGAAAGCTTCGGCCTGATTTTACTGGTCTTCTTCCTGAAGAGGTCTCCTTGTTTGAAATGGAGGACCTTGCATCTCAAGATGTGAGTAAAAGCCTCCAAGCAGTCTCTGGTTCTAAATCTGTTCTAAAGCTTGGAACTGAAAGAAGCATCTGAACAAAAATTAATAACTCAGTTTCAGGAAGTATTACAGTAGCAAATTGAGTAACTAAGAAACAGAACGCTTCTTCAAGATCCAAGAGAAGGAAGAAATTGAGAAAGAGAGAGCCTAATTACTCTAAAATGGTAGACTCCATTCTGGAAGATATTGAGATAAGCTCTAACCTCAATAAACCTCCTGAAAGAAGAGACGTTCTTCATAAAAGAATTCTTAGAGGATTTAAATAAATATATTGCTAGTTTATTTGATTCTTGTAGAATCAGGCCATGCAGAATGCGTACCAGGGATGCCTCTTTTAAGGAGATCTTGGTTACTCAAGCTCATAATATAAACCTCATAGAAGGTGAAGATGCTTCTGAAAATAAAGACTTGAAAGAGCTAGTATGTTGGATGGCGATGAACAAAAATACATCAAAAGCAAAGTCATTATTTGATCAAAATAATGAATCAATAACTCGTCTTGAGGATCTGCTTGCCAAATATTCAATTCAAAAGCTCATGGAAGTTTGCCGGGATAAGAATATAGCAAAAATGTATGACTTTTTCATTAAAAATGGAATTAAGAATTTTCTCGACAAATGTCCAAATCATCTAAAGGACGTATACAAGGACTACCTCATGGGCATCCACCATAAATTTAACTCTATTTCCTAACAACCCTGCCCCAAAACGATCTCCCACCCTTAAAAACCCACACTCCTCCCCTCCAAAAATCCCTTCAACCCCAATCTAAAATACCTTGCATAACTTATTTCCTCCAACCTCCCCCACCAGCACAGCTAAATTAAAATCTCTTTAAAAAAATCAACATTCTATTCCACAAAAATCTGGATTGGCACTTGCCTCTATATTTCTTCGTGCTCTCTATTGGATATTAGGGTTCTGATTGTGTAGGATAAGGTAGGAAGTGGGTGGTTTTGGGGGGTAAAAGGAATCTGAGGGATTTTGGGGTACAAACATCCTAGCCCACATCTCTTCCCAAAAAGGCGTTAAGCCTTCTCTCAGAGTCAAGACAACCAAGGGGTTTGAACCAAAATTATTCTGACTTATTAACTATACTGGAATTTCGGGAATTCGGTTAACTCCTGCTGCCAAGTCTAGGCTGAAATAGGGACTTGATCGTTAGGTGAGTGGAAGAGCCAGGAAGTGAGCAAGGGAGGAGTCAGAGATTTGGAAGGGGGATTTGGAAGGAGGATTTGGAAGTTTGGAGGGATATGAGAGGGTTTTTGGAATTTTGGAAATTTTGGGGACTATGGGCCAGTTTAGTACTGTTTTTATCTGGAAAAACTTAATTTTCAATTTTTAGTTTACTAATGGGGTTTTGGGGTTTTGGGGTTTTGGGGTTTTGGGGTTTTGGGGTTTTGGGG